ATGCTGACAATTATTTTATTGTGCATTAACGTAGTTTTGTTTATTATCATTATTATTTTGAAAGCTCATTGCTCACTGGCTCTGAATACACATACAGACAAACCATGGTACTGGCTTGGGATGAGCGTCATCAGGCATCTCAACTAATGAGAGCATTTGGGGTGGGCCTAAGACTGCTGCAGCGCTCACATGAACTGGAACTGAATAAAACTGGTGGGGACAGAAAAATGGAGAAAGGTACAGAACTCTTATATGGTCATTTTCATTTTAAATCTCTTCCACATGGCGGAGTTGATAGAACCAAAGTCATTTGCAACCACTGCAAAGCTGAATTTTCTTATCACCGGAGTACTTTGAGTCTGAAGGATCACTTAAATGCAATACACACAATTGATGCCAGCAAGTCACCCACCCAAACAAACAGTGGAGGGAGGCTTTGGCAGACTACGTTGGCTGTAGCGTGTGGGAGAAGTATAGATAAACAGAAGCAAGACAAGCTAACAAATGGCATAGCGAAGTGGATAGCAACAAACTGCAGGCCAATTATTATTGTGGAAGATGTCGGTCTGAGGAACGTTATTAGGATCGCAACAAATGAGGGCACGTATGAGCCTCCCTCATGGCACACCATCACAAGAATACACAAAAAAAGCCTTTCTAAATATTAAATTATCATTTTTGTATTATTTTCCTTTTAAATTAGTGCTCCTGCTTTCATTCTTTATTAAAATACAATGTGCAAAAAAACTGGCATGAACTGTCATTCCCGCTGAATGATGGACCTATTTGTACAATTGCAAAACAAAAAATAAATGCAGCAGTCAGTAGTGGCCCTTTTATAAAATAAAATAAAATAAAATAAAATATTACTGCAGCAGCTGTGTCTTGTAAACAAAACAAGTCACACAGTGGACCATCAGTATTTTGTCAAAATACTTTATGTGGCTTGTCCTAAAGGTGAGATTTATGCTTTAATGGAAGTGTTTTTCAAACATCGTGGTCTACCTTTTCAAGAGAAAAGACTCTTGAAAAGGTGGTTACTAAGTGGTTGATTTTGCATGTGTGCATCTGGTTTGTTTGCCCAGCTCAATTAAAATGCAACATACAGTTGTGTCCCAACTGTTTCTGCTAGATGTGGGGTTTGGTGTTAGGTGTTTGGGTTAGGGACTGCACTCTCCCAGGACTGTCTCATTTCTAAATGGGACTAGTATTGCCTTCATAATGCAATATTTGGAAACTGTCAATTTCCTTTCCACCTACTGTATGTCATTTCTTGAAATGGGAAAAATTAAATGCTGCTACACAACAGCTCAAAGTCAACAATGAATGAACACAGTTATACTAGCGAAATAACGTTATGTAGCATGCTGGTAGGTACTGTCACAGTCCCACAATATTATAAGTTTTTTTTCTAGCAGAATATCGCAAAATTACAACTATCATTACATCCCTATTTAGCAAGCAATTCTTGAACTCAGATTTTACAGTGTGAAGTCCACAGTGCCTCAGCTTTTAATATTGGAGTAGATCCAAATGCTGTCCAGAGGTGTTTTACTGGTGCTGCAGGAGCTGGTGCAGAGTGGGTCATGCCAGGGCCTTGGTGACACTTATGATGTTAATGCACAACAACAGTGCTTGATGGGAGGGGTTTTAAAATTACTATGGCACTTTCTTACACATTTTCTTGTAGTGGGCTGAAAATTTGCGTTTATTAGGCTTCAATTAGGAAGGCACAATATACTACTATTTCACCTCAACATTTTCCCATAAATGTTCCCAGAGCAACTACAGAAGTAATGTCAACTTAACATTACGATAACCAATTTAGCCTAAGCATGAGCAATTTTTTTTTTCTTTAGTATTTATTTTATCCTCCCGTCGGCCCACCACCTGCAGGAGGATTCATAAGGGGCAGTGTATCAGGCAGCAGTCGAAGGCAAAGGCCCCAACGACCCGATCTCTGGACACGGAGACTAGCCCTGGGGACATGGAATGTCACGTCACCGGTGGGGAAGGAGCCCAAGCTTGTGCGGGAGGTTGAGAGATACCTAGAGATAGTCGGGCTCACTTCCACGCACAGCTTGGGCTCTGGAACCTTACTCCTCGAGAGAGGCTGGACTCTCCACTACACTGGAATTGCCCGCGATCGGAGGCGGGCGGCGGGCTGGTGTGGGCTTGCTTATAGCCCCCCAGCTTAGCCACCATGTGTTGGAGTTTACCCCGGTGAATGAGAGGGTTGCTTCTCTGCGCCTTTGGGCTGGGAATAGGTCTCTCACTGTCGTTTGTGCCTATGGGCCAAACGGCAGTGCAGAGTACCCGGCCTTATTGGAATCTCTGGGAGGGGTGCTGGAAAGTGCTCTGACTGCGGACTCAGTCATTCTACTGGGGGACTTCAACGCTCACGTGGGTGACAACAGCGATACCTGGAGGGGCGCGATTGGGAGAAACGGCCACCCCGATCTGGACCTGAGCGGTGTTCTGTTACTGGACTTCTGTGCTAGTCACAGTTTGTCCATAACGAACACCATGTTCAAGCATAAAGGTGTCCATCAGTGCACGTGGCACCAGGACACCCTAGGCCAGAGATCAATGATCAACTTTGTGGTTGTTTAATCTGACCTCCGGTCGTATGTCTTGGACACTCGGGTGAAGAGAGGGGCGGAGCTGTCAACTGACCACCTGGTGGTGAGCTGGATCCGCTGGCGGGGGAGGAAGCTGGACAGACTGGGCTGACCCAAACGTATTGTGAGGGTCTGTTGGGAGCGTTTGGCAGAACCCCCTCTCTGGGAGATCTTTAACTCCCACCTCCGGCAGAGCTTCGACCAGATCCCGAGGGAGACTGGAGACATTGAGTTCGAATGGACCATGTTCTCCACCTCCATTGTCGATGCGGCTGCTCGGAGCTGTGGCCGTAAGGTCTCTGGTGCCTGTCGTGGCGGCAATCCCTGAACCCGGTGGTGGATGCCGGAAGTAAGGGATGCCGTCAAGCTGAAGAAGGAAACCTTTCGAGCCTGGTTGGCTTGTGGGACTCCTGAGGCAGGTGACGGG